CACCAATGGACTCTTTTTACGAACGGTGAAGGAAAATGTCGCGAGGAAACCGACAAGACCCAAAAAGTTGACGGCGTATATCAGGCACAGGATGCTGATCACCTACTTGCGAACTAGATTTACAAATGATCATGAAACAGATACATAAATTTGAGCACGTCACGATATAAAAATCAGTGGCGCTAAAAAGTTTGTAGCGCCACTGATTTTTTTAATTACATTTAAAATAAGAAAGTCTTACACTACTTACAGTCTTTCTTTAGGCGAAGACACTCTGTTCTTGTGTACTAGTTTTTTAACTTACACTTAAGCCTGACGTACACTCACACTAATTCACTAATTCGAATAGTTTTGTCCTTTTCAATCTTCTCACTAGATCTTAGTCTATATCAATGTTGTGTTATAATTAAATATAATATATAATATCGTACAAAAAGCAATTTGTGTAGGCGCGTATAATAATAGTTTATGTAAGGTAATTTTGAATTTACGGAAGGGTGTCCCACCCCCCAGGATTAACAAGATCCCATTAAAATGTAATAACTATCTCGTGACAGACTTGAAGAAGTTCAGAACGAGGGGTTGTTACCGTCTTTACCCGGAAATTTTAGTAATCTTCAAAACCTTATAGTAATATTATACAGTTACCTTGGAAATGGAAATTCGTTATTTATATAGTAGGCAAGCTTGTAAGTATGTTTTTAGGTAGGTATATATATGCTTAATAATGAATAAATAAATGAGAAACGATATATCTTAAAATTTCATAGGTTAATTAGTTGAAATGGTTAGTTAATGGGGCTTTTTATTATTTTATAAATTACTAACAAGACAGTATTTACTATATTCTTAACCTACACAGTTATAATTAAAAAAATATAAATAGAAAATTAACACAAATTTACTGTATATTTGTATGTTGCCAATAAAAACATTAGAAAATAAAATTTAAGTGGAAAAAAACAAGAAATGACGTAGAAGTGTTCGCAAATATACCTACCTACCGAAAGTTAAATCGCTTCGTAATTAATCTCCATTTTCTAATATTTATTTAGTGTCATGGTTAATGAGTACGAATGACTAAGTAACTATGAGTTTTTATAACTCGCGATTCCAATTGCGTCAGCGCTATTGAAATTATATTATAAACATATTTTTTTTTAGTAACTATGGGATCGTTATCGCAGGCACTAAAAAGTGCACCAGATTGATTTTCAAATAAAAATTTAAACTTTTCATCCTTTGCTTCTTCGTATATAGAATATACTATCTATAAATAAATATACTTTACATGTTTCTGGTAGAGTGCCGCGAAAATTGAGATATTCGCGAACACCCCCAACCCCACCACCTCACGCCCCAAGGGGGAGGCCACCTGAGACAGTGTGAAGACGCTCAAAATTTCGCCCAGCGGGTAATTAAATTGCTTTAAGTTTTAATGTTATGTCTTAGCGTTATTAATGTATCATTGTATGTAAAATGTATGCCATAATACAAATCACATTTAGATGCAGATTATATAGTTTACTATTATTGTTTACAATTATAGTAGGTATATAAAAACATATTAGGTACATTAATTTAGCATAATATAGCTTCTGGTTTCGCTTTTATCATAGGGCTAGTATTGAATTTTCTTTTGTGTAAGTAACCTTTTTCGTAATGAACTAGTGACCTACTGTGGTTTGACAATCTTATCTACCGTAAACAGTAAAATTATATAAAAAATATAACAAACATAAACAGTTTAATCATATAATATATCATAAATTAAGTTACAGTATTTAGTTTATTTTAATTATATTTTTATATATTTTGTTCTGCGTCACCTGCGTGGGAAAGCTTAGTATAAAGTTAATACAAACCCTAAAACTCTAAATAATTAGATAGATAGTATACCTTAGATATATAGATTAGATTTATTAATCAATAAATCTATGTATAGATATTTTAGATTTATTCATCTGAAGTTCCTTGTTTCATTACACAGTACCTATTACAGTTTCTTGTATTCATCCGGAGTTTCTTGCCCATTCTTCTCCACACGAAACTACCTTTTGGAAGGGGCAACTAGAATCATCTTTATATTTTTTTTTTTGACGTTCAAAAGTGCCATTTTAGATGGTCTAATTGAAATAAACGATTTGACTTTGACTTTGAATCTGTATTTTATTAAAGCGAGTATCACAGACTAAAATATCTAAATCATCAGAATTTTACATTTTGAAACAAACTTCTTTTTTCGTACATAATATCTAATTTACCTTAAAGCCGGAAAACATTAAAACGTTATCTTAGTTTTGAATGAGAAAGTTTTAGCTTTGAAACCTTTGAGAGAAAAGCTCTAATCGATTTTTGAAGTACTCGGGAGCGAAGAGCAAGTTAAATTAAAGTTGTAGCGGGCGCAATATTCTGAACACGAACTACTTACAAGATTTGATGGAGAAACGACGCTTACAAAAGGAGGTCCGAGAGCTTATACTATACTAGCTTCGTACTGCGGCGTTGTCCAGAATAGTTCTTATAATCCGGCTTTTGTAACTATAGTATCTGTCGTATAGTTTCTATGGTTACATTAATACAAACCACAGCAGTTTTCTAATGTAACTTATTATGATTGAATTATATTATTTTGTAAAATAAAGAAATTAAAAAGAAAACTACAAAAGCCGGTTTATAAGTACCTAAGTGATTATAACTGACCTATTTTTAATTTTAAAATATACTTACAAAATATTCTTCACGAAAAAATGGCCTTATTACTTAACCAAAGTGGTTGTTACACTGGTTTTAAAGAAAATATCATTATTGTATATTATCAGTAGGTACGTACAAGTTCTGATGTTAAAAAGAAGGAATTTTATCTATGTAAATCAAATTAGTTTGTTTAATAATGACCTATACGTTAATCAGTCTATGAAGCAGTGTGGGCCGACTGGCTTTAGCGTGCTCTCATCCTTGAGGTTGTAAGTTCAATCCCCAGCTGTTCACCGATGGACTTTCTTGTCTTTGTGTAAATCTCACACATGCTCGTACCGTGAAGAAATACATCATGAGAAAAATGACAAAAGAAACGGCCCCATATGGGGTTGTAGCGCCACTGAATTATTATGAATGCTACAAGACGAACATATAATATGAAATTCATCAAAATCCTATTACTAAATATTTAACAACATGTGTGTACCACCCCAAACCGCTCTGTATATTAAAATTTTGTTATACGGCACGTGAAGTAACGATCGCGGGTGCGCTGAGATTCAAGATGGCGTCTTATTTCTTAACGTTACTTGCGGCTGTTAACTATGGAGAGATGTTTTTGAAACTTTTAAAAATTAGCTTTTAATAAAACCCAAACCTTTAGGCACTACTAGCCTGTTCTTTGTTTTCACTTTCATTATTGTCTGAAAAACGTAGATTTTTATCTTATTTGGCATTTTTAAAATGATTGCCTTTACTACATAAGAAATTGTAAATGGTCTTAATATCAGGGCTGACTTTGTTAAAATTATTACGACTAATAAAATTTTATAGAAAAAAACTGATTCAAAACTATCTAATTTCGCCAGCTCAATGTATGAAAGTCACAATTTCTATAAGATACCGTGTCACATTTGGAGTACTTGGATGGGTGTAACAAAACTTGGTTATTGTTTTTTATATAACAGAGTGCAAAGGCTCACCTAATGTTAAGCGATACCGATAGACTCTCATTGCCCAGAATGCTAGGAAGTGCGTTGCCGAATTTCAGAAATCAAACTACAAAAGATAACTAGTAACTAAAAAAGATTCACGTTATCTAAGAGGTCCATATGTATTTATAATCATCAGGTACAGGTGTTTTAAATTTAAATTTAGAATGAATTAAGTTTCTTTGAGATATATAAAAGTCTATTTCCATACTAAACTAGCCTAGAGGGTTTCGCCCCGAGTTATAATATCGCGAGAACTTTGCAGGGAGGCGCGGTGTACGATGGGGGTAAAAAGGGGGAGTGATGACTCGCTACTTCGCTTACTTATTTACATAATTACATACGAGCCTTGAACGTCTTGCTTTAATATTAAGCAGCTCACGTGGTGAAGGTATATCTTTAGGAAGCTGACATTCCTTAGATCAATAGGCTCCACAAACAGATCAACTACTTTTCTATAAAAATTATTGTCAAACAAAAACAGAAATAATTTAAATATAGAACAAAAAACAAAGTGTATTTCCCTTAGGAGGCAAGTACCTAAGTAGTGTTATTGGACAACTTGTTAATAAGTACTTTGATAGATTATACCTACTATCCAATGATCACTAGGTTTAAAAAAAAGTATTTTGTTTATACAAGCAATGGATTTATAAAGAACTATGCCTAACCCTTAAAATTTGATTTTTTACTCTGATATAAGATACATAATGCAAGCAGAGTTGGCCTAGTGGCATGAGCGTGTGACTCTCATCCTTGAGGTCGTACGTTCGATCCCCGGCGATGCACCAATACGCTTTCTGTATATGTGCGCATTTAACATTCGCTCGATCGCCGAAGGATAACATCGTGAGGAAACCGGCTTTAGGTTTAGACCCAAAAAGTCGACGGCGTGTGTCAGGCACAGGAGGTTGCTCCCCAACTTGCCTATTGGATTTATAAATGATAATGACACAGATACAGAAATCTGAAGATCAGACCTAAAAAGGTTGTAACCGCCAGTTGTAAAGATAATTCATGTAACTACAAGAAATAATTGTATACCGTAGAAGAAATCTAAATATAAATAGATAGAATATAATACTGTTATAAATACTTATCCCTATTGAAGTCTGGAGATCGCGTTCAAGTTAAACTATATATTATATAGTTAATAATAATATGTTAAGTATAACATGCCTATATCTTCTTTCAAAATTAAAAACTTGTAACACGTCAATCAAAATAATGACATAGATCTGTCAGCAGTAAGATCTTTATTCGTTTTCGTTAATTTACAGAATTTTGTAATAAATATTTTTATTTATAATGTCCATTATGGAAGAATCAATTGACAACAGACCATCACCAGAAAACTTTATGGAATTTATACCATGGGCCTGTAGCCAGCTGCAGTTAAATTTTATTATTCTGATACATAAAGAACACCAACGTAAGTAAAAGCTCTCATAATAAAAAGTATTGGCTTCAAAAACCTCCCTAGAACCACAAATAAGTCTTGGTGATGCGTTTTGGTAAGGTTTTATTGAGGACAGTAAGTCTGCTTGCTAGATTGAATTAATGTAATTCGATATTAGGAAGAAGGAGTTATTAGACTCATTTATGTGATAAATATCAATTCTATCTATTTTCTAACCGAATATATTAAAAAATCCTCCTTATTTTTTAACTCTAATAATCATCTGTCTCTTTTTGTTAAAGCGTTAACTCAATGTAACAGAAAGAGTCGAAATTTACTTTTAAAAAGTGCAATTCGTTTTATTTTTAGAGGAATACGTAAGTGTTATGCATCCAGATCGAAAGAAAAACAAAAGTAAACTAAAAGTTCAGTCACGGTTAGATTTAGATTCAGACCATAACAAAGACGATGATTCGAATGTACTAAAAACTCCGGTAGCAGCTGACTCGGAAGTAATTCATATTCAAGCAATTTGCGACCACGCCGATAATTTGACACAACTCAAATTTGAGAAAAATATAGCAATCCCACGCATTTTATGGAAAGTTATCGGACTCATTGTCAAATACCACAGTTTTCTGACGAACATAACAATACACGGTGGCATGGATCAGTACACATTGCACGAAATCTGCAATTTTCTAAATATTTCCAATATAACCGAATTGATTCTAGACTATTCTTTTATAGCTGAAGCCAACTACTATCTTCTTTTAGAGTCCAAAAACGACATTTATCATATATCACTGGCTGGTTGTGAGATTGAGGATCACGTTCTTAAAATTATCGCATCTAAACTAGCGCACCCGATGCCAGCGTCCAAGAAATTAAGTATCCTAAATTTAGCATCGAATAAAATAACAGATAATGGAGCTAAGTTCTTAGCTGATGCGTTACGGTCTAATAGACATCTTAGCTATCTTAATTTGTCAAGCAACAGGCTGTCAGACAAAGGTGCTGCAGAACTATTTAGCGTCCTACAAGAATTTATTTTAACAAAAGACGAATTGATGGCAGCGAGAATACGTCACATGAATTTTTTAAAACAAAAGAACGATTTAATAACGAAGGCGATCCAGGAATTGAAGGCTGGTGATATAGGAAGAACTCCTAGACGCAAGACTGTTAGAGCTGTGAGTACTGTACCCAAGCGTGGTAAATTGGAAAAGGAAACTTCGTTAAAGTCATTTGGTGAAAATAACGCTAAAAGTCTTATAAACGTAGATATGTTTCTTCATGAAAAAGCTATCGCCATAGCTGACAGTGAACTAGGGGATTTTGAAGATCCATTTAGCTCTAGTAATATTGTTGTAAGAAATAGCTTTACATATTGCATAGGAAATAATATACTATGTTATCTTAATTTGTCTTACAATAACTTGACTTACATATCATTGAAGGAGATAGTGGATTTGCTAAAATATCAGAAGAGTGTAGATAGAAAACCTACAGGTCTAGCTAATTTAATAATTGAAGGGAATCCATTACCAATGCTATGCGATGAACTTTTGCAAATTGACGAACTCATTGAGACGGGTCTAGCGACGCATAGACGCGTCTCAGTAGGTAAAAAGCGAGCAGCACAAAGTGCTAAACGTTTTTAGGTAATAAGTAGCTGAAAATTATATAAAATATTTTATATTCCTAGTATACAACAGTATACCTAGTATTTCTACTGTTAGCTTTCTTCTGCCCGGAGAACTTTGTCAATTGTCAATACTTGTTTTAGATATTTAATTTTTTGGTTACTTTACTATAGTTTCGGATATGTGTTATTTAGATTAATTTTAATTTTTAATTTGTAAAATTATTAAAATATATCATAATATTCTTGTTTTTACGTTACCAATGATGCATATAGCGTTGAGCTGAAGTGATTTTGTGCGTGGATACCGAGTATAAATCGTACTACTTAAAACTAGGTACAAATAAAAGTACACATTACTCTTCGCTTCTATAGGTCTATACGCTGTAAAATTAAATTATTCATACCCAACTAATCGTATAAACGCCGAGAAAAATGTCAATGAATATTTCCCGCAAAATACATAGCGGAAAAACCCTAAAGCCCGCAGCGGGCGGGGTGGGAGGCGCGGGGGAGGGTACGCGTCGATACTCGCGCTCGGAAGCCATCTTAAAATATAAGACCCCCCGCCTCCTTAGACGCTCGCTTTTTCAAACTGCCGAGTGAGCGGTGTGCCAACCTTTGGTTCCTTATTTCAGTTAGATTTTCAAATTTTTTTTCGAGCTATAATTAATATTTTCAAAGAAAGCAATAGTGGTAGTATATTCAATAGGTGTCAAACAATATGCTGATGTCAGCAATCTATGTGTTAATGAAACCCCAAATCACAAGCCATCTTTGAGTAGTATAAAGTTGTATCAAAGTTTAACTTCTTCTAGTAGGTAAAGTCCATTTTACATTCTATAAAAGTGTTATAATGTAATCAAAAAATGTAACATATAAATCATGAAAGACAAGCTTAAAACGGATATAATACAATTAATAAAAATACTATCATCCTCAAAAGCTAATAAAACTGATTTAACTGAACTAGCAATACTTAAATTCTAACTATAAAGGAAAACATAATTCACTCTGTACCTACTAATCAAAAAATGTTTCATATAAATCATAAAACACAGACTTAAAACAGATATAATACAATTAATAAAAACACTATCATCCTCAAAAGCTAATAAAACTGATTTAACTGAACTAGCAATACTTAAATTCTAACTATAAAGGAAAACATAATTCACTCTGTACCTACTAATCAAAAAATGTTTCATATAAATCATAAAACACAGACTTAAAACAGATATAATACAATTAATAAAAATACTATCATCCTCAAAAGCTAATAAAACTGATTTAACTGAACTAGCAATACTTAAATTCTAACTATAAAGGAAAACATAATTCACTCTGTACCTACTAATCAAAAAATGTTTCATATAAATCATAAAACACAGACTTAAAACAGATATAATACAATTAATAAAAACACTATCATCCTCAAAAGCTAATAAAACTGATTTAACTGAACTAGCAATACTTAAATTCTAACTATAAAGGAAAACATAATTCACTCTGTACCTACTAATCAAAAAATGTTTCATATAAATCATAAAACACAGACTTAAAACAGATATAATACAATTAATAAAAATACTATCATCCTCAAAAGCTAATAAAACTGATTTAACTGAACTAGCAATACTTAAAATCTTAACTATAAAGGAAAACGTGATTCACTCTGTACTAATCAAAAAATGTTTCATATAAATCATAAAATACAGACTTAAAACAGATATAATTCCGTTCCAAATGATAAAGTAAGAGCATAATTCACTCCGCACGATTATCTTAAAGTAATTTTCTTGCCAACGTCGTCTAAATCAATACAGCATTAACCCACACAGGTGCACGTTACGCATACCGCTGCAGAAAAACTATTGAAATGAAAATATAACGCTCACATAATAGGGCTGTCTATTTTCCAATCTAGGGATATGTAATGCACCGAAATAACTTGCATTAACATAGACAATTTAAACATTTCTGTTGTAAAATATTGAAATAGTAACATGTGTCCGTCTCAATTGATATCTTTTTAGTAACATGTACCACACAGCAAGAGTTGGAGGAGGCCTGTGCTCTATCATGAGGTTCTGCTTGAGTTAAGAATTTGTATCATAATTATTTAATTGTATTTTTTAGGAAATAACGTATTATTTTTATTTAAGGGAAGATGATTCGATTTTTAAAGGCAAGGTGCCTTTATGGGCTCCCACACAAAACTGCGAATTCGCATCGCATCGCAAATATCTGCGAATTCGCACGAACGCACCGCAAGAAGTTCCGATCTGCTTCACATCGCACATTCTTGCGATATTACGTCATCCTTGGTGACGCCATTTTAGTCCGCTCTGAGACAGCTTTAGAGAGAGACGCGCGGCGCCTCCGCCGCCTTCTTTGTTTATAAAAAATTGCGGAATATGATATGGATTTTTTAATATTTTTAATTGAGGAGCGTCCCGTCCTTTGGGACACAAGTGATGAACATTATAATAATAAATTTATTAAGCAAGATGCGTGGAAGAGCGTCTGTGAAAGTTTGCATCAGAGTTCATAATCGTAATAAATGGATGAACCCAGAATCTTCCTTTTCTTTTATATCTATTTAACAATAACAGCAGTGCAATTATCTTTTTGCGATCCATCTTACGCGTCCTAAAAACACGTCCAGTACGGCTGACTACGAAGGAATGGTCGCCCTACCAAACGGTTTGTCGCACTAAATCGTATCGCAGAAATTCGCATCGCAAATTCCTGCGATGCGAATCGCATCGCATCGCAGTTTTGTGTGGGAGTCCTAAAATGTGGGAGAGTTTTTAGATCATAAGTTTTGACAACAATTAGGTATAAATCTTAGCTGTTCTTATTATTATGACTTTATGTTTATTAATATGACATTTGCACGCCTATTTTACTATGGCTGATTTCTTTTTTTATGTAATAAGAGGCAAACGGCTCACCTGATGTTAAGAGATACCACCGCCCATGGACGAAAGTGCGTTGCGGCCTTTTAAGAATTGGTACACGCTTTTCTTGAAAGATTCTACGTCGGTCTACAGTGGGCTGGTTCCACGTAATGGTGCGGCAATCGTCCGGGGCAAAAACTGCCTTAAGAAACGCTCAGTTGTGGAACGACGGACGTCGAAGTGAAACGGATGGTATTAATCAATCTGACTGTCTTTGCAATAATCGATTTATTTAAAAGTGATAACATTAACCGAACATGTAAATATGACGGGGTACTTTTTGATGACCGTGTCGTACTTTAAAGTAGTTTAAAATTCAATGAAATTACGTTAAAAATTTACGGCTTTAATAATTTGCGACCACACGCTATTTTAAAATTTCTTCTGTAGTGTCACCCCTAACACAAGTAAGCTGAGTATACGCACACAGATGCAAGTGTATACAGATCGCGATCCCCCCACCTTCCACCCCCCTCTTGCGCCTTAGACGTTGGCTTTTTACATGGGTAAAAGCAACTGCGGAGTTCGACACCTTTGGTTCAATTTATTAACTAAACGATTGTAGTTAAAATCTTGCTTACGTTAACGAAATAATTAGTCAAAATATCATTCCTAACCGTAAAAATATTTAAGTGAGTGAATTGAGAGTTTCAAACAAAAAGTCTATTTAAACACAACATTTTTTTCTTTAACATATAAACCAATAAACATAAAAGTATGTTAAAATCTATATTAAAATATACCTAGATACGTACCTAGTTATCCATCCCGATCGAGTCACTTATTTCATTATAAACTGTACTGTTACGAGAGCTTCGACTAACACTTTCTTAAACCAGAATAAAACGAAAAATTCTCAATATATAAAAACTGGTTTCCCCTAAATGACAAGTTTCTTTTTGGTGAGAATATTTGTAACCTTCTTGGAATTCCCGTTGGACCTGTTCACGAAGGATTTAACATCGTATTGTGTTACTATTCGAATTGGAACAGGTTGTCATAAGGAGTCGTGAGAAATGACAAAACATGAAAAATAGAGAAAAAGAACTTCAATCGATAACCTCCTATTATGTTTTATGATAAATCGATTAATTTTGAAACTATTATACATTAATTACCAAACAAAATTACGGCTATAATAATATAATGGTCAATTACGTAGTATTATAAATTTAATAACAATGGTTATATGGTGGATTTTTGATAAAGGATTCAGAATTATGGCGATGAAAATGAAAAAAAAAACAGAAGTATGGAATAAATAAAAGTGTGTAATTTTAGCTGTCCTTGGAGATCAGCGGTTGATGCAAATTATAATGAGGAACCGGTTATCTGCGCCTCCCGTTAGCACAACGTTAGAATTAGGTGTTATGAAAAAAAAACGAAAAGAAAGAGCAGAAAAAAATTTAAATTTCTACCGTCGCAAAAAGTATTAAAGTATATCTTTTGCCAATGTAGTCTAATAGTGTAGTATTAAAAGGTTGATATCAAATGGACAATTAAATCAAAACAGGTTTAAATTTTAGTTTCGTAAATTCTCACTCCATTGTGATTCATCACAAAGAACCTGCCCTATACCCCTTGTAAGAAACAGGTGATTTTAAAGAATTTCATTCTATTTACGAAGTTAGCTTTCATTTTTAAAGTCCTGGGAAAACTTTGGCATTTTTTATAAGTTTCACTGATATTAATTATCTATTTATAGTAAATACTTGGGGTGGAAATGCGTTTGCGCATCTATGGAGTAGGTAAGTATCTGTCTTTCAAGCATCTCTGCTAGCCCATTGACAAAAATTTCTTAACTTAAAAAATCACGGTTTAGTACTTTATGGGGCATTTTATATTATTGAAAAAAAAAATATATATATAATAAAATACATCATAAATATTAAAGCAGATAATGATTAAACAATAATATAACAGCGGTGTGCCTAGTAGCTAAGGTACCAACTCTAAAGTGGATTCGAGCCTCGGACCGAATTTATGGTATAGTAAAAGGTAGATAAGGTTATAATAACATAAGCAAATATCTGTAGCCAATAAAGAATTATGTTCT